AGGAAATTATTACTAAGGCTAGTGTGTTAGCCCGGGTATACCAGAGAAGCAAATTCATAAACACACATATGTGTATAAGAAAGAGGTTTATATACAAGAGCAGTTGAATATTGAGGAAACATCCCAGTATAGTCCAGATCAAGTCTATAAGTCCAATATTAGCCCATATGTCCGATACCAATCTATAAAGTCCTCTTCTGACTCACAAAACACATGCAATGATGCCGAATGCAGGAAGATCACAGGCCAGTTGGTGGGAAGTCCTGTGGATTCAGTGGCATTGTAAGCATCTCAGCGCTGGCAGGGGTCTCTACGTGGCATCTCCTGCTTCAGAGGTCTGATTGTATCAGTGGAGGTGGCTTCTCCAGCTCTCAGGGTGTAGCACCATATGTCGTGTCAGTACAGCATCTCTCGGGGAGTGAGCAGAGAAGAGAATGTGTCTCTTGCCTCCAAGGGAGAAAATGCCAGAGTTCCCAGAATTCTCAGAAAGCCATGCTCATACAGAGGCCTCACTGGCTATGATCCCATTGGCCCACTAGAGTCCACCCCTTCACTCTTAATCCTCTCATGTCCCAAATTTATACCAGATTATGTAATTACCACATCTAGTAAAATTATTACTAAGCCTAACTCTTTGAGAATGGCAAGTTGTTTATATATCTGCATACTTATCAAAAATAGATCTATATGTAATCTCATAAGGCAGCTTCTGAACCAAATACCAAACCCACTACCATGGAGTCGATTCTGATTCATAGCAACCCTATAGGAAAGAGTCAGACAGTTCCTTTGGGTTTCCAAGGAGACAAATCTTTAAGGGAACAGAAAGCCCCACCTTCCTCTCAAGCACAACTCTTTTAATAATAGCAACCAATACACTGTTTTTGGTGAATTTTAAACCGAGATTTGAAAAGAATACATAAGGAAAACAATTCTAGCCTGTAATTTCCTTCATTAGTATCATTATGTTATCTATGGTATCTGGATCTCTCATTAATAAAGTCATGTGCCTTATAATTTCCATTTGGGCAATGTCTGATCACATATACTTCTGTGGTCCCAATCACCATAAAACAAACAAACAAACTCACTACCATGAAGGCAATTCTGACTCATGGCTACTCTTTAGCACAGGGTAGAACTGCAACTCTTTACATGGGTAGAAAGCCTCATCTTTCTTCCTCGGAGCAGCTAGTGGCTTGAATCAGCCAATCAGAGTTAGCAGTCCAACACACAATTACTATACTGTGGGGGGAGGTCAGATGCGCAGACATCCCTCCCCTGAAGGCAATCAGTTGCCAGACTGCTGTCTCATCCCACCACAGGGGTGGGCCTTCTCCCGGCCTCTGGGGACAATGGACGGGCTCCTGTAGGAGGAGTTTTCACCCTACTGATAATGGTTCCTATGGAGACCCAGAGACCAACCCCTAGACCAACCACTCATTGCTGTGTAACCTATAATGCTGCTCCTCCCTGTGATGTATGTCTCTACCTGTAATTAGTGGGCTGGCTTGCCCCCAAAAGGTATATAGGTGAGTCAGCAATATAGATCGCTCTCTCTGACTCTGAGTTCCTTGCTGCTCACTCCCTGGTCAATCCCCTCTCCCTTGTTCCCTTACCCTCCCCTTCCCTTCCCCCTCTCTCCACGTGGACCTCCAAGCTGGGCTGAGGTGAACAATGCTGTCATGTAATATGTCCAACTGCATTATTGTAACATCTCTCATGCTCTCGATGACTTTATATCTCTCATGCTCTCGATGACTCTAATATAATACTTATATACCTCAACCGTATAATTGTACTTACTGAATCCTAGTAGTAGCAATAGTAGTACTAGCGGTGGGGGCTGGTCCCCCACCTCCCTCTGTGCCATATTTTAATTAAATACTATACTATACTACCAGGGCTCTCTTATATTAAAAATTTGAAATCATAGAACAGTTCCTTAATAATAAATTGGTGCTACTTTGCAAAGCACATCAGAACAGTATTACTATATTATTATGTTAAAGATGTTTCATTGTCTTTGGAAGTGTTTCTATAATGTTTTCTATGCATAGGAAGGAACATCAGATATTACATAAAGAGACAAACTTTGACTGATTTTAGATACAAATCCTACCAAACTATTCCAACTTATGCACAAATTCAACTTAAAGATAGACCTAGAAACAGAACTTGCTTGTTTCTAAACAGGACAACCTGTTTATAATATAGTGTGTGGTAGTTACATAATCTCATATCAACTTGAGGGTATTAAGAGTAAAGCGGTGAAGTCTAACCTGTCAATCACTCAGGTCACAACCTGATTAATGCCTCCTTGTGGGCATGGCCCTCTCATGAAGATCTGGGAACTTCCTCTTTTTCTGGCTTCATCTTCCTATTGACAAGACACGTGGAGACTTGCTGAGCTCTGTGAGAGCCTCTCTTTCTCTGATTCACCTTCCTGTTGACAAGCCACTTCAAGCCAGGCTGATGGCAGCCGGAGCCCTGGAGATGCGTCCACCGCCATTGGATTTACAAGACTTTGCACCCACCAACCTGTGATCTTCTGCATTCTTCATCATTGCATGTGACTGTGTGAATCTAAAGAGGGATTTATGAACTAACATCAGAGTTATGGGCTAAGAAACTTGACCTGGACTGGGCTGGGAAGTTTTCTTTTTTTCCCCCCTTTTTCTGAGCTTTTTTCTGAGCTAGAAAATAGACTATTTATTTATTTTCCTATTTCATTATTTATTTTTAAAAATCATTTTATTGGGAGCTCGTACAACTCTAATCACAATCCATACATACATCCATGTGTCAAGCACATTTGTACATTTGTTGCCATCATCATCATTCTGAAAACATTTTCTTTCTACTTGAGCCCCTGGTATCAGCTCCTCGGGATGTTTTCTTAATAAGCAATTACTCTTTGATATAAAGCTCTTTCTTATACATATATGAGTGTCTCTGAATTTGTTTCTCTAGTCAACCCAGCCTCAACACATGGTGTTCACACAATGTCCAAATCACCTGGTCCTAGTTCACAAAATACATAGCAATATGTAACTGTATATATTTTTCTTAATAAACTTCTGATTGTTATTCATCTTTGCATATAAATCGCACCTACAGTAGAACTCCAGACCTTGGCGCTAATCCATTCTAGAAGGAGCGTCCAGATATGATGCAGTCGAGTCTTGAATCAATTTTTCCCTTAAGAAATAACTGAAAACGGATGATTCCATTCTTGACCACCAAGTTTTCACTCTAACCTTGTCTTTTTATACAAAACATTATACAGAAATTTCAAAGTAAATAAGTTCAGAGTTAAATAATATAATTTAAATAAGAAATACAATATTAAACAGTTTTTAACAACTACAGTATAGCCCATACGTTGAGACTGATGAGCATCTGGATCTGTGGACATGGATGTGGAGAGGAGATATGGAAAGAGAGAGTCATTGTTTAGAAGGGGAATCCCCGTCCATAAAATCAACTGGTAGCTGCATTTCAGGAGTTTTCCCCCTTCTTTACCTTTTTTCACTAGGACCTGGTTGGCTTTCTCTTAAAAAAAAAAAATCTGTCTAATGTGGTCTGCTGTTGGCATTTCCTAACTGTTTTCTAAAAGAGTTTACTAAATTATCATCAATAATTATTGATAACACGGTTAGCCAGTTCCTTATCATGATGATTCTTTTCAAAAAACTCTTTCTAAGGACCCATGTTTTTTATCTAAAAATAGTAGACAAAGCCACAAAAACTAAGAAAATTATAGCAAAATCTTGGAACACAGTCGCAAAAGGTTTAAACAACAAATACTAACAATGCCAATGCTGAGTGACTTAAATACAAGCTGCTTTGGTTTTTTAAAAAAATCATGTGTATGGGTTAGATTCCGATGTTATGTTCAAACTCTGATGCAAAATTTTCTCAATATTTTTCAGCGAAATCCAATTACGCCAAGTACTGATGTGGTCGAGTACTGGGGTTCTACTGTACATACAAAAATAATATTTCTAATGCCCATGTAACAATTCCTGGAACGTGTTGGAAACTGAATTCTCAGAAATTAATTGTGTATAAGTACTTAAGAAAATTCTGGTAACTAGTAACATCCTTAATAAAATTTACTATCAACAGTAGAGGGTGCCCTAATTCAACAGTGGTTGGTATCTAGCTTTGATGTTTAATTTTCTCCTCAATTAAAATAATCAAGACAATCTTCATTACCATAATCTTCACTTTCTGACAAAAACAAGATCTCTCTGTTTTTCAGTGGCAAAATTCTATTCTTAAGCGCATATAACAAAATTTAGTAGAATCTATTGCCATTAATAAGGCGCCCAGCCTGCAGAGACCAAAGGAAGTGACAGACAGGGGCCTAATCAGATTGCTGGAGGCAAGATAAATTCTGGGTATGGTAGCATTGTATTAAAGTATGAAATATGTATTTGGCATATATATTCTTTTGGAACTCATTTCCCCCTCTTATGTTTCTCTGCCTTGCATTTGCCAGATCTCCATGGGTCTAAATTATACCTTAAATGCCCAGTTGCCAACTGCCCTATTCCATGCCCCAATACTTCACAGCTTCTATCACAATGGATGACAGCACACATACACAGGTTCATGAGTACTAATGGATTGGAATATTCACAGACTTGCACTTTCATAAAGATCTTCTAAACCATTACATATACTTCCAGTGACAGAAAAGCAGGGCTGTGAAATAGCCAGTTATGGAGAAAGCTCTGGGTCTTTTATCAAAGTCTTTAATAACATAGTATTTGAAAACTCCAATATAGTTGTAATCATAATCATAGCTTCCCACAGATAATTACAAGTTCTGCTTATATATCTGAAAAGTACAGGGTTTACATAAAATGAAGATTGGTCATAAATATGTAATTTTACTCATAAACACCAGCTTTTGTCTCTTAATATTAGGTTTCATCAAATTTTATAAATTGTGAAACTATTGTATTCAAATAATAATTTAAGATAAATACCTGTTTACAGTGGTTTCTGAATCTACCTGCAAGCTAATTGTTTCTGTTGTAATTTCAACTTTCCGCACACTTCCAAAGAAATCCGTTATCAGGACATTTCTAGGATCCCTCTGGAAAAGATCAGTGCGATGTCCAGGCGTAGATACACACAGACTTTTGGGGCATACCTGAAACTGGAAAAAATATATCTATATAACTAATAAATACACAACTAGAGATGTTAAACTAATGACACAACATAGTAGACAAGAGTGTACTTTTAAAGCATTCCCAAACTTGAAGAAGCTAGTTGTTTTAAAGGTTAATGTTTTACTGCTTCTGCATTGCTTGACAATATAAAAAAATATTTAAATATATATAAAATAAAAAAAGCCATGCAATGCATATAGTAGAGCAGTGATAAAACAGAAAATGGCCATAGAGAGCAAAAAGATTTATTTTTTTGAATCACATGCTACAAAATTTATATTGAATTCTGAAAGCCACTGTGAAATTACATTCAACATCTATGGCACCTGAATTGCCTTTTTTCCTACATCTATATCCATCTCAATGGGGTAGTCAACCAAAGTGATTTCCACTGGAGTATATGTAATCATGAGCCATTATTCAAACTTTTCATCCATAGAACATATAAAATATTACACAGCAGCTCAATATGTTAAACAACAACCAAAGAAAGTGCAAGTGGGTTGCTCTGGATAAATGGAATGTGCAGCACCATTTCCCTACTAGGTTCTTGCTCTTTTGCTGTGAGCCTATATAAACTATTATAAAAATCACCCATCTTCCTTTTTCACCCATCATGTAAATAGAGTCAAAGTACTTGCATTGATACTCCAGTAGCCAAAGAACACATTCAGAAAACCATGACTTTACAAGTCATACAAGTCTCAAATAATTGTGTTAATCTTATTCCAGATACTCTACATCAGTAAACCTCCAAGGACAGACATACTTACTCATCCACACTGCAAAACACAAAAGTCGGCCACATATAGTTTATACTGTTACCTTTCACAGAGAATACAAAAACCCATTAACACATGATGCTGCCCTCAAGGCTTGAAGTCTAATTAGAGGGAAACAAACTTAACAAGATTGAAAAGTGTTCCACTTTAGGGGGGAAAAATTTTTATTTTAGTTACCAAATGGAAAATTTAAGAGGGAGTGGAATATAAGCTAATTTATCAAAGAAAAGTAGTGTTTACAGGTGAGAAATAAAAAACATTCCTAAATTGTCATGGATTTCATCTTGCTTGGATCCACAATCAATGCTCATGGAACCAGAAATCAAAAGATCTAATGATGCATTGCACTGGGCAAATCTACTGCACAAGACCTCTTTAGAAAGTTGAAATGCAAGGACATTACTTTGATGACTAAGGTGAGAATTGGTGGTGAGTTTGAATTGTGGTGCTGGTGAATATTGAAGATATCACAGGCTGCCAAAAGGACAAACAAATCTATCTTAGAAGCGGTATGGCCAGTGCTTCTTAGAGGCAAGAATTGTGAGACTTCATCTTAGAAGGTTGGACATATCAAAAGAGACCAATCTCTGGAGAAAGACTTGAGAAAATAGAGGGACAGGAAAGAGGAAGACCTCACGGAGATGGACTGACAGTGGCTGCAACAATGGGCTCAACCATAGGCACAATTGTGAGGATGGCCCAGGAGTAAGCAGTGCTTCATTCTGTTGTGCATAGGGTTGCCATGGGTCAGAACTGACTTAATTGCACCTAACAACAACAACAATAAACGAGCAGCTAAAAAACATATGGCCCACAAACAACCTAGTTTGATCATTGCACAGGATATGTCACAGAACAATGAGAACCCTTCCAGAGGGTACAGGGCCCACCTATGGAGACATGACTATGTGACAGAGAATCACCAACTGGAGAAGGGCTACAATTTATAAAACACAGTGTTCCAAGTACATGCTAAGAAATGTTTAAGTATGTATTCTCACTTAAGCCTACCAGTATTTCTGAGTGATGTCAGAATCATTATCTTTATTTCAGGCTAAATCTCAGAAATTAAGAAATTTGCCAAACTTCACAATGCCAATAAGGGACCAATCTAGCTAACTTCAAAATCCTTGCCTTTCTGTACAGGAAAGCTGTACAAGGAAACACAAAGACCAAGATATAAATTAGGAAGTAAATAAAGGGGAGAAATGGAGAGAGTGAGATGGGGAGGAAGCTCAGGAAAGTACAATGCTGCAGAGAAGAAACAAAGTAGATGGACCAATCCAAAACACTCATTGCCGTCTTTTCGATTCTAACTCAGTCTCCCCATAGGGTGGACCAGAACTGCCCTTATGGAGTTCTAAGACTGTAAATCAACGGTTATCAACCTGTGGATCGCGACCCCTTGGGGGTCAAATAGCCCTTTCACAGGGGTCGCTCGATTCATAACAGTAGCAAAATGACAGTTATGAAGCAGCAACAAAAATAATTTTATGGTTGGGGGGTCACCACAACATGAGGAACTGTGTTAAAGGGTCATGGCATCAGGAAGGTTGAGAAGCACTGCTGTAAATGGACTGTCAGAGAAAGCTTCATTTTTTTCTCCCATCAAGTAGCTGGTGGGGTGCAAAGGTTTCAGACACAAAGTGAAAAATAAAATAAGCAGAAATAAGAATGATGTGTGAGAAACACTGAAGGCCTCTCAGAGAGTTTCAAAATTACGAACAGGTGGGCAGTATTACCGTATTGGAGGTACAAACTAAGGGTCTTGTTAGCAATTGAGTGTTTAATCACTGGAGTCACCCAGGAACACCTGCATTGGGCAGTTACATGATCAAAAGTTGCTTTCACAATGGCAAATTGGCAATAGTAAATTTTAGTTTAATCGGTATAGGGATAGCTACAGAAAAATTATTTGAATTATACTATTTTAAAATGTTCATAATAAAACACTGGTGAAGAAAAAAGTGTTTCAGAAACAATTTATGAAAATAATTTGCAAGATTAATTAGAGGAGCCAGAGACTACATTCAGAGCTATTAATTTCTGGAGACCAGCCAATCATTGGGCTGCTAACTGGAAGGAAGGTCAGCAGTTTGAACTCATCAGCTGCTCTGTTGGAGAAAGATGAGGCTGTCTGCTCCGTAAAGATTGACCGTCTCAGAACTGCTAGGAGTAGTTCTACTCTGCCCTACGATGGCAGTGGTTACAGAGCCGATTAAACATACCAAATAAATAAATAAATGATTCCTTCCCATTATTCTCCCATATCTTCACACTTTTACAATCATAAAGTTCCTAATTCTTTGGGTTCCATGTTAATTTAAGAACATTACTACTGAAATTTTGTCATGTTTCAGATAATCCCTTCACAAGTGAAAATTCAATCTAAGGTCTTTAAAAGCCTAGAAAGATAGGGACTACGTGATAGCCATGCAAACATTGTTTGAATTCTACTCTCTAAATGAAGTCAACTCAGTTAAGTTTATTTTACTTATATAATAAAATATATAAATATATAAACAACGTCCCTACCTGGTATTTTTACTGACAATATTTAGCTATGGCTCAAGCCAAACTCTCTTGACAAAAATTTAGGAAATGTCCACACGTTTCTTCCATCATATGTCACATAAAGAAATGAAGAGAGATTCCTCAGTGAAGACTGGATTTTTTTTTCTATCCCCTACAGAGAAGGATCATTGAAAAAGCTGAAAATACATGAAACACTCTAGGCATGCCTCTAATGTGTGGTCTAAGAGTTCATTTCCTATGGAGAAGTCTGAGGGAAACTCTTATTTATCTATTCAATTTGTCTGTAAAATTGAAACTGCCCTAAAGATAGATTAGTATTTTAAATAAATTACAAATAAGTCAAAAAATGAGAATAAATTTTATATTAAAGTTACTTGAATTTAGATCATTGTTAAGGAATGAACTGTTCCACCTGGAAAAGTTTTATTGCAGACCAATCCCCCACAACCTGTGATTGTGACCTTGTTTGGAAATAAGAGTTTTAGAAGGTATTATAAATTAATATGAGGTCACATTGAAACAACGTGGATCCTAAAATATACTGAAGACCCAAACCCAAAAAACATTGATGTACAATAACTAGGTGACTAGTATCCTTACAAAAGAGAAGAAAATATAAGGAGACAGATAAAAGAAGATACAATGTGATGCTGCAGCTTCAAACCAGTGAAATGTGCAGGCTCCCAATAGCACGGAGAGAGGCCTGGAATAGTCTATCCCACCCAGTGAATCAACATGCTTGCTACCATGATACAAACTTGCAGTGCCTACAACTGTGAGACAAGAATTCTGTCTCTGTAAGCTCCCTAACTTGAAATATTTAGTTATAGCAGTCCTAAAAGACTCTAATACAGTGACTATAATTTTGTAATAGTTAAAATAGCATCATCATAAGTTTTAACATTTAAATTCATATTAAGATATGAGTTATAAAAATAGATTTCTTTCACTATAAGGTAAGTGGTCCTACATTGGGCCTCCACTCAAGTACTCCCTCAA